TAAGTGAGCCGTTTATTGGAGTTCCTTTACAGCTTGAATGAGCCGTTTATTGGAGTGTCCGGTCGAATAATCAATTAGGATTAAATGGATATTAGTGTCGATGTTTGACTGCGGAGGAAGATTTTACCACGTGACTTACTTATCTGATCAAAGGCGTATTACTCAAAAATCATGTGACTGCCTTTTTTTTCGCCACTAGTATATAATTGGTAAGTTAAAACAAAGAGAAGTCGGCAAAACAAGCACTAGAGAAGAGCGAGGTGAGTTATCTTTTATATGGGAGTTATCTTTTAACGGGTGGCAGTCACCGGGGGGGGGGGATTACTGTATCTGGCTCAGCGTGATCGATGGATTGATTGGAAGTTTTCAAGCACTCGTACGGTCGCGGCATAATGACCATGGTCCCAGCTACACGCTTGTGCGTATTGTAGCATATTGCGTCAGTGGGATCTATTGGTACATAGCCAGCAGTGCTCGCCCGCTTCCTTAGTAAATATATTGGTTTGTTCTGAGAATGCCGAAAAAATGGGACTTTGTTCATGTATATTCCATTCTTTAGCGAGATCTTAAAAGAAACAGACGTATATATGCTTATTGGGGATCAGGTGCTAGGATAGATACAGAGATTCGGTAATCAATGGTAGATTTTCTCATATAGTTTTGATGTTACTGCAGCGCTTTACTATTACTGGATTACTAACTTCAATCACGAACAGCAAAATTATGAACTAAGGGTGACAAACGAGGTCACGGACCAAATGGCAACAGTTGTCAATGCAGCCACCTCACATTGTCAATAAGAAGAGAGCGATTGAAGATGAACATACAGAACCATACAAAACCTTGGACGAAATTAGTGTATGGCAGCGTGATATCCCGATGACATATAGACACAATATGAAGGATAAGTGGAAAGGCCTACATAGCAATGCTTACTTTCAATTTTTAGCAAGGATGATCAACTCACATGTGTACCTTGAACCTGCGCCAAAGAGAAAATACTTCGTGTGTACAATCTACGTGATGGGCGGCATCTTTTCGATCTCCATCACCATGGCGATCCGATTCTAATTTGCTTTGATGCACCGATACTGGCAATATCGAAAAATGGCGCTTTGTTGGCGGTTAGTCTTGATACAACGTCCATCAACATTTATCTGATGGAGAATGGTTTAGAGTGTGGAAGAAAGGATGCAACGAAATCGCATAGAATAGTATTGATTGAATTCATCAACAATGACGAATGCTTACTAATTATCAGAGAAGCTAAAGTGGCTACTGTATGGAGTTATTCACGTGCAGACCCGACAGGACTATAAAAAAAATTGATTTACCAGATTACTTCTTGTATAAAAGACCGAATCTTTATGGTGTCAGATGGGCTGGCAATACGGCAATTTTTGTCAGACAAGGGGGAACTAAAATTAGTTCTCGACTGCTTTGATCCAAAAGAGGAGAAAATCAGTGGAGGAGAGGATCCGCCAATTGTAGCCGACAAACAATTAGAGTATTCGATTGTATATGAATTAGATGAGAGCAAACTTTAGAAAATGGTAGCAATGACACTACCACTGATTTGGAGGATGAGAATGATAAGAAACATTACAATGATGAGGTTAGTGCAATTTTGTCGGGTATATAGAAGTTCTGTACTGTACCTTTTCAAATTCTGTATTGTTCTTTTTTTCTAAATGACGCTGTACTACGGTGCGGTGCGGTATGTCTATCATTTCCTCAATGAGAAAATTCTAATCGCGCTTCCCGCTTCTGTATTCACGACACCTTTCATCTAAATGGATGCTAATACCAACATTACAACAACTATATTAGAGGTAAGAGTCTTGTAACTCTTTATCTTGGGTAGAGACAGCCTTTTTCTTTAAAATGAGTGTAGCATATCTTAAGTTAAGTGAACTGTTAATAATGTATAGATGAGACCTCATCTGGCTATCTTTGGCCCGTTCCTTTGCAGAACGTTAGCGTTGAGGCAAATGGTAATTACAAAAGAGTAAAAGATGTAAAAAGTCGTTATTATTTTGTCATTTCGACGTAGCAACATATTATTGGGTCTGTAGTGACATGATTGCTGAAGATAAAGATCTATTGAGCAAGAATTCACTGCATACTTACCACTTCCTTTGCTTGCTATTAATTCCCAAAGTCACCGTCACTCAAACTTACAAGAATGAAGAAGCAGTGACAATTGAAGCCATCTACAAATTCCCAATTCATGAAGCTGCAGCAATCTGTAGCTTGAGGCTGAAATCGATGGTAATCGCACAGCAAAGGGTATTGTCAAAGATGCTCAGCAGGCTGCTAAAGAATACGATGGAGCTATTCAGATTTGCTGGGTGATTCCAGTCTGCTTGTAATCACCAAATATTTGGCGGGTTAAAAGACCGGTCTTATCCGACCTCTGGTTGTCCATTCCTGCTCTCATAAAGGAGTAGCTTACGGATTATCAAAGTGTCTACTGCGTGTTTACAATATTAATTAAATTATCGAGACTTATTCTTCTGATTACTTAAAACATAAAGAGTGGTCTTGGCGCATACTTACTTGAAGAAGAACTTCCAATGCTCAATTGACAACGTTACGCAAAATCCGCATAACTTACGTAACCAAGCTTAAACAGGATTCTGATTTCGCTTTGTCCCGCCTATGGCGATCCGCAGAACTCGTCTCAAGCAGGGACGAAAGTAATTAAGGGTAATCCGATGTATTCGAACGAAACACAATATACATTAACATTGGACGTGAATGTTACGTGCCGTATGACGGCAGTTTGTTGAGTGTCGAGTCACCCGCGCACAAGATTATAACTGGTTAATTTGAATGGAGACCCAAAGACTTGCAGAGTTGGGCTGGCAGAAGATAGAACTCACTTGGAAAAGGACTTTGTGCTAGTTGTTTTAGGTATAGATCAAGAAAAGGACAGTAGTCATAGAATCGGTGACGGTTTGCGGAAAATACGACAGATATTCATCGAACTCATACATCTATTTTCTTTTTACAGAGCGTTCACAGAATACAACCCAAAGACCAAGACAAATTGTACCATATTGACTCTTGTCCCCACGTTTGAACTTAAACCGGTGCTGACAGAAATGATTTTTGTCGTCGACAGGTAAATCGTTTAGATGCTGTTTTCACGTTCTGTTATGAGCTCGTGTACACGACAACGAATTTTATTTGTTCAGATCCAGTTCAATGGGCGGCGCGGCGCGCCTATAACTAAAGCTTTGACAGACGCTCGAACTAATAACGTGTCCAAGTCGTCATTAAGGAATGGGAAATAAACGCATTCATCGAACGTTACAATAAAGGTAAGTTGACTATTTTCTGACAGTTACCGTAGTTAATTGCGATGATAATTTATAATTCACTCTTTTACCGTCTGCTAGGCGATCTCGTAAGTGTTGATTGACTCAAAGCCCTTTTTTTCTTATTACCAATTAAGACAATTGTTACACATTTGCACCTACATCTAGAACTATAGTTTACATCTAGCTTAAGAGTATTCAGTCTATCTGCTCTTAATATTAATCCTCTCCGTGATATCATAACCTCATTAAACAAATTTGTACATCCTTTAATTGAGGAGATCTTGCAAGTGATGTCTGTTGTTAATTTGTGATGTCCTTTTGTTAATGAAGTGGTGAAATTCCATTAGAAACACAAAAAATAGAAAAAAGCATGTAGATGGTGTGGGTTATTACAGTCAAGACTGGATATAACGATACCTGTATATAACGATGAAATTTGTAAACCTCGATTGGTTATCTGATAAGCGAGTCACATGGTAAAATCTTCCTCCGCAGCCATAGTGTTATGTGCAGAAAATGTGACAAACGCCATTAGCTAACTTAGAATATGATTGGTTCTTCATAGGAATTACGATTATTTAACTAATTTTACTCCGTTTCGTTTTGCTAAAAGTATATATGCGACCCTTATCCCATCGTCGAATTCTTATGTTGTTAATGTTGTTGTTATAATAGTACCATTCCACGGAAATAATAATCAAATAAAATATTCTCTTTAAAATCGAAATTTTACTTTCTTTCATAATTATTTGACCGGACACACTAATAAACGGCTCTACCAAGCTGTATAAGTTGTCTGCTGATCAATTACTCCAGATTGGAGAAAAGAGAGCTTATAATTAATTAATGAAAACGATTATTGTTTAATTAGTTACATTAGAGACAAGTGACGGATACCCGACGTCGGAACACCAAATCGAAGATAGTAATAGCCCTGTTTAATTATTAAATAAAATTTTATTCCCCTTCGATTCTGCGGTAGAATAATTGTTGCTGTTATTCTATCGTGGATACCCTTATTTGGATTATGAGTGACTGAAGCTCGTATAGAGAATTAGGAAGCATGCATTTTTAATTACTAATTGTAGATTTAGAATTCAGTCTTAATTGAACACTACCTGGCATCCTACGGAAAGATTAATCGCTTTCCCACGATCGTAACAATTTATTCTGTTTACAGTCAACTCTGTCTATACCGGCACGAGTGTTTTGCCGTTATAACGAGAGGGGAGGCAATCATTTCGTCGACAATCATTTCACCGACAATTATTTCACCGACAAATCTTCACCAACATTATTTCGAAGTTATCCTTTTTTGGTAGTTAATTGTCGGTGAAATGTACTGTCGGTGAAATGATTGTCGATGAAATAATACGAGAGTATATAAAACTGTTACACAGGTAGGAAATCGTGTAACCACATAATTGTGCGACCAACTCGTTTTTCTATATCATTGCTGTGCCCCGTTCTAGGATTTGACCCGTTTCGGGTCACATTAGAATAATCTCTCGCACCAATAAACTACATGATTTATGTGATAACGTCGAAACAATATGTGACAATCCTGAAATGGGTTGACCGTTCTCAGAACGGGTCATGGGTCCTAACATCATGATGCAGTAATCGTCGTAAGAGCAACAGATCATCTCTACCATCTTTATGTTGTCATTATATCTGATGATTCACTATTCTCCTGAAGAACCAAATTGATTATCTCTTGATCGTTTACCAAATCTTCAATCGGGATATTCTTGTCGATCTCAATAAATTCTAATAAACAATAACGTTAAATGATATTCTTTCAATGATTCATATAATGAGACCTCTTTAAACATACCTTCGGCTGTCAATTTCTCACCATATGATAGACGATCTATTAAGTTCTAATGCGTTTAAGTGTCTCTATGTCTGTCTTAAAATTTTTGGCAGAGATTCTCTTGCGTGGCATGGTAATAATTAAAAGGTTGGCTGAGTTATGGTTGCATTTATTAGTAATATTACAAATAATCACTTGACATCGCCGGTATAAAGTAAATCTTTTTTCTATAACATAAAGTACATTTCCATCGCCATCATTTGCGCATGAGCTTACCTTTTTTCGATATTCATTCGCTCTTCATGTTCTTCATTTCCTAAAATAATTTCCGCATTAAACCAACAATACCCATTTATCGTAATTTTCTGTACAGATCTTTCGGGGGAGTTTATATCATATACTTGATACTTGATACTTAACTCTTGAAAGAGTGTATGTATTACATTTTCCTGTTGTTATTATTTTGTTATTTTTATTTTTATTTTGTTAGCCTCGGTCATAATCCGTCATTTTTCATCATCGTTGTGTGTCACACATTCAGCATGTTGAGTAAATAACATGTCTATGTTGCATAGTCTTATTATTAATCATTATTTGTTTATGCGTGTGAAATAAAAAGGATATGACTCATATGACTCATATGAGCAAACCCCATATTTATATACTGCTCCAAAAAAATATCACTTCCACTTTGCATTCCCATATATAATTATAAAAAGTATAAATAACAACATATCAACCGCTTTTTTGCCATACCTCTACTTTAATCACTCACTATTCAAAGAAGAAAAAATTTTTTTTAAATGCTCAATTCATCATCTATTTCTCTTAATAATAAAAACAGTTTTTTATTTCTTTTTCGCATCCTACTTATTAGTTTGAAAAAATGTCTCAAGTTCTCGATATATTTACCGTCAATTCTCTTCAAGCAAATGAATTCGTGGTCTATTATTGACCACAATTCCTGCCCTCTTACCTCCACTCCATATCCAAATACCACTTCCGAAACTTGTGATTCTTCAAATATCACATACTGGCGTCCTTCCGATAAACTACAAAAAGTTTTACGTTTACTTTATGAAGAAGATTACGCTCAGTTTCTGTTCTTATTGCTCGCATTTATTATACCCACAATCTGGAAACTGGGTAGTCAGAAATAATGGTACTACTTATCCTTTGCAACTTATTTCCAAATAAGTCTTACTACTAATCTATGCCCCAGCAAACTTGCAACTTGCGGTGGATCAAATCAAATTTTAATAAATAGACATGCCTTGTCCTAATACCTCAACGTATCCACGATGTACACTCCCCTGAAATAAGTATCGGACCCCCTTTACTTTTAATTTGTATGACAGCGTACATAATAATTTGTTTCCAAATTTTACTTGTTATAGCCTAGTAT